ATGCTAAAGAATGAAACTGGACTTTTTTATATGATAAACAAATATTAGCTTAAAATGTTTTAAAGACCTGAATGTACATGAAACCATAAAACTCCTAGAAGAAAACACAGGTAGCAAGATCCTTGATATTGATTTTGGTGATGATTTTTTGATCTGACAATGTAAAGGCAACAAAAGCAAAAACAAACAAGTGGGACTATACCAAACTACAAACCTGCACAACAATGGAATCATCAACAAAATTTAAAAGTAACCCCATGAATGTAGAGGAAATATTTGCCAACAATATATCTGATGAGGGGTTAATATCCAAAATATATTAAGAATTCATTTAATTCACTAGCAAAAAACCCCAAATAATCCTGGGCACAAGAAATTAATAGAAATTTTCCCAAAGACATTCAAATGGCCAATGTGTACATGAAAAGGTACTCAATATCACTAATCATCAGGGAAATACAAATAAAAACCATAAGGAGATATCACTTCACACATGTTAAAATGATTATTATCATGGGGTTCCTGGGTGGCTCAGATGGTTGGACATTTGCCTTTGGCTCAGGTCATGATCTCCAGGTCCTGGGATCAAGCCCTGCATCGGGCTCCCAGCTCAGGAGAGAGTCTACTTCTCCCTCTCTCTGCCTCTTGCCCTCCTTATGCTTTCTCTCTTTCTCAAATGAATAAATAAAATTTTTTAAAAAATAAAAAATAAAATGGTTATTCTCAAAAAGACAAGAAATAACAAGTGTTGGCAAGAATATGGAGAAAAAAGAACCCTTGAACACCATTGGTAAAAATATAAAGTTGTGCAGCTCCTATGGAAAACAGTATGGAGGGCGAGGTTAAAAAATTAAAAATAGAACTACCATATGAACCAGCAATTCCACTTCTGGGTATATAGGCCAAGAAAATGAACACACTACCTCAAAACTATATATAATCCACCCATGTTCACTGCAGCATTATTTAAAATAGCCAAGATATGGATACAACCTAAATGTCCACCAGTAAATGAACAGATAAAGAAAATGTGGTCATATGTAGACAATGGAATATTATTATGCCATAATAATGGAATATTATTCAGCCATAAAAAGGAATGAAATCTTACCATTCATAATGACATGGATGGATCTTGAGAGCCTTCTGTTAAGTGAAATAAGTCAGACACTAAGACAATATATTTATATGATCTCATTTATATGTGGAATCAAGCTTACAGATGTGGAGAACATACTGATGGTTGTCAGTGGTGTGGAGGGCTGAGTGAAATGGATGAAAGGGGTCAAAAGATACAAACTTCCAGTTTTAAAATCAGTAATTCCTAGGAAGGCAATGTACAGCATGGTAACTATAGTAAATAATACTGTATTACATATTTGAAAGTTGCTAAGAGAATAGACCTTAAAAGTTCTCATCATAAGAAAAAATAAAGGTAACTATGTACGGTGATGGATGCTAACTAGACTTACAGCAGCCATTTCGCAATGTATACAAATATTGAATCATTATAGGGTACACCTGAAACTAATATAATATGTCAATTATATCTCAATTAAAAAAAAGAATTTGGAATAGGTATGGTGGAAAAGGTGTTGTGAAAGCATATTTGGAGGTTGAATCACAAATTTTTTGGATGAAATAAGCATGTATTTTTAAATCAACTGCATCTTTTTGTTTCCCAATTAAAAAAAATTCTTTTCTCTCCTCAAAAGACACCAATGTCCTGACAAAAATACCTAGCAAATTAGCATTAGTTTTGGCATACCATAGGAACAAACATGCACTGCCCTATCACTCATCCCCTTCATTGTTTTACAAAACCAAATGAAGTTACATTTCAGGATTCACAGATTGCATTAAAAATGTCCTGCGGGAGAAAAACGTGAGAATTGTTATAATATCTGCTGACTCCTTAAGTGTAGCAATAACTGTCATATCTTAACAAATGAATAAGGCAGCAAAATATTCCCCCAGTTCTTAATTTGATTTTAAAAATGAAGTTTAAAATAAGTTTAATTTCCACACAGATTTTAATTACAGAAAAAAAAATTTTATCTTGCTCAAATCCAAACTAGACTTTGTTGACCCATACGCATATTTAGCAGGCAGTCCAAATGTAAACTTCTGCAAATCCCATTCAGTCTATAAGCTTCTTCTCAAAGAAAAGGAAAAGATCTTACCCACTAAACATCCTACACACCATGGACACAACACTGAATGGAGTGTGATATGCTTACCTGTGATATACAGGCTTTCCTGATGAAAGCTTTTGGTCACTTTTAGTTTCCTCAAAAGGTATGGAAGCTGGTAATGGGCTTTTTTAAAATTAATTTATTTCACAGAGAGTGAGTGTGTGATAAAGCACAAGCAGGGGGGAGGGGCAGAGAGAAAGGGAGAAGCAGGCTCCACACTGCGCAGGAAGCTCGACCTGGGGCTCAGTCCCAGGATTCCAGGATCATGACCCCAGCTCAAAGCAGATGCCTAACCAACTGAGCTACCCAGGCACCCTGGGATTTTTCAAAACTTTATGAAGTGGGAAGGCGATGACTTCCTCAGACATGGATGCATACAAGATGGTTCTTAGTGTGACAAGCTGTATGAGATGTGTTAGAATACCGGCCTGGCATAAAATCTTGTTCTTGAAAGGCTGGACAATAAGAATGTACTTCTTTAATTTTTAAGTACATTGAAGAGGAAAATAGAAAGGTTGCAGTAAAAAGAGAATTTACGTGCTGTTTCTCTGAAACAATTTGCTAATCTGTGAATCTTAGGGGGAAAAAATGAACTGACTATACCTATGACTCATATTTTTGGAAAAAGACTGCTTCAGAACTCAAAAACTGTAATTAGAAAAAGGCAAGCAGTGAAACAGGACCTTCTCAGACCTTTATTAAAATTGAAATTTATTTATAATTCAACTTAGATTTCACAAATGCAAATTACCTCTATGCTTTCAACCATGTTCCCTAAGGAAAAAAAAATATACAACTTCTGACATCCAATGTGATTTAGAGTGCTTAAAAATGAGCATTTTGGGGGCGCCTGGGTGGCTCAGTGGTTTAAGCCTCTGCCTTTGGCTCGGGTCATGATCTCGGGGTACAGGGATCGAGCCCCGCATCGGGCTCCTTGCTTGGTGGGGAGCCTGCTTCTCCCTCTGCCTCTGCCTGCCTTTCTGCCTGCCTGTGTGCTCTCTCTCTCTCTCTCTCTCTTTCTCTCTGACAAATAAATAAATTTTTAAAAAATGATGAGCATTTTTGAAATGGGCAGCCTATATGGTGAATTAAACATGAAAAGAAACTGACTGCTAGGTACCTGATCTACTAGAAGACACCTACAGAAACAAAGCTAATGAATGTTTTTGGAGATCTGCAAAATAATTTCTACAAGCCTAAAACCCTACTGTGTCTAGTTAAAACAACAACAACAACAACAACAACAGGTATGTCATGTTCAAATGCTTTGTAGGAGATCTTTATGGATGCCATCACAATAGACTGACACCTGAATTCAGGAAATGTGGCTTGATAAAGCAGAGCTTCAAGACAAAAGGAATTGTACATTTGGCTCTATTCCATTTTTCTGCTGCTTAAAGGAAGGATATCTGAAAGGCTGCAAGCAATACAGAGAAGTATAATTGGAAAATGAAACAGAAAGGGCCAAAAATATATCTGACCATATCATAAAACAAAGAGAATCATGTTTTATTAAAAAAGATTTTTTAAATTAAGTTCAGTTAGCTAACATATAGTACATCATTAGTTTTTGATGTAGTATTCAATGATTCATTAGTAAAAAGAAAGAAAGAGAGAGAGAAAGAAAGAAAAAGAAAGAAGGAAGGAAGGGAGAGAGAGAGTACTGTCATTGTTATTTTTTATTAAATATAGGGCAAGCTTAATTTTTCCTATATTTATATTCCCCTTTTGAAAATTCTTACATTTATGAATCTGAATAATATACAATAAGATAGCCTGCAAAATTTAAATATCCAGTAAAGACTTTAAAAAGAGGTAAATATAAATTGCTATTTCAAGGGAAATATTAAAAAATACTGTCATTATAAATTATTGTTACATTTTTGCTCATATATATTATTTTCTTAATTGGTTGTACACACTGGTAACTAATAGTGTTGTTTTACTTAAATAATAGTATTTATGTAATAAAAATCACTAATATATAATATGTAATTTTAACTAAATATCTACTTTACACATTTATGTGAAAATAATATGTTTAAAATTATGTTACATGTTAAACTATTATTCCCTTTTTTTTTTTGGTCTGATACACAGTCTAATATGGCTGTGTGTTAACTCTGTAAAAAGTTGGTCACCCTAGCTACACCTTCCCCCTGGTATCCAAGCTTCAAGTAAATCTGCCAAGGAGTTTCAGTATTTATATGCCCCAAAAGGAAAGGGGGTGAGGGTGGAGAGCCTCTGCTCCCAGGTTATCCTAGGTGGGCTCCAATATCTTCTAAAACCAGGGAATATCCCCCAGGTATCCTCAATCCTACCCAGGACTGCTTAATCTCAAAATAGTACTCATGAACCCCACAGGAGAGATTCTAGAGAGGATAGTTCAAAAGACTGGACTGGAGTCCTTACAGTGCAGCAAAAAGGAATAAAAGATAGCCTAAAAGAATCTGGTGGCATTAATATAACAATGACTACTAACATTATTTTAAACCAGAAATGTATGAGGCAATCCAAAGTGAACAATCCAAATGAACTAGTCAAATTTTATGTACTGGAATTTCTACTTTTATATTGCCTAATCTGGGTACACTTTTTGTATCAACGTTAATATGTCAATGTCAATGTTGATATATAAAAAGTACAGAAAAAACTTCTACTGTCTTAGATTTTTTAAAATTTTACAAATAAAACAAAAACATGTTTTTGGTATCAGTTGCTTTGTAACCTAGCTTGGAACCTATACTTTGTGAATTTTTTCTCTCACATATTGTCTTTGATTAATAAAATTTGAAAGACACTAACCAGATGGAGCCTTGTGCCCATCATCAATACTTCCAAATTCTCCCTTCTTCTGCAGGCATGTAGGAGGATCAAACCCCTTTTCACACTGGCAATGATTTAAATTATTGCAAACCTGGAGTAATCAGAAAATAGAACAATTGTTTTTTAGAGACAAAGACGGTTTTCATTAGAGACCAATGAATATTCTATACTTACTCAACAGAGAATTTATTTCAGAGAATTTATTCATTTAACTTAAATAGACAAATTAAATAAATTTTCACAAATTTTCTCTCAATATTGTCCATACTTTAGAAAGTATATTTAGCTTCTTCTGACAAAGGAATTTAAAAAAAAAATTCAACTCTTTCCATAGCCAGACCCAAATACTATCAATTACCAGTAACATGCCACTAATTATCATTTAGTTGCCAGTTTCACAGAACAGCCCAGACTCTGAATTAATAAGACTAGAAAAAATTTCTAATGACCTTTGTTTACCAGTTTCTACCTTCTTTCTGTGAAAATAAGATCATTTTTGTTATATAACAATACATGCTGCATATAGCACATCTACCCCTTATATTTACCTAACACTTCATACATCCAGAATCATCTTAAATGTTTCTACTTTATATTCTCTAATAAATAGTTTAGCAACATTTCTTAAGAAAATAAGTTTGAAGTTATAAATTATAGACTCTTAGATGACACCAAGCAGCATGAAAATCATCTTAATATTTTTTTTAATCTCAAAACCATTTTATAGCATTGTTCAAAGTATCTTGCTAAAATGAAAACTGAAATTACTTACTCCGTGGCTATTGCAATAAGTAGAGTTGCACTCCTCATCTGTTATCTGGTGTTGAACTTTTACACACACAAATTTGACACAATACTAAAAGCAAAAGGAAGTGAAGAATAGTCACACAATTAGATTGTGTGTACGGATAATACATAAGCAAGAGAGTTTCAGAATTCATATTATCAAGAATTGACATAAAAAATACAAAAAGTATAAGGTAATAATTTGAAACATTGAAATAAATGTGAAATAAGCTATAAGCCTTCAGATTTTAAAGATGTAACCATATGTGAGAAGTTAGTTTTATTTTCTTACCACCTAGCTAGTAGTCCACTTAAAAAGGGAAATATCTGGAAAAATAATTTGACTAGTTCCTGAGTTCCAGAACTATCCAAGCCTTTAAAGATTTTATTTACTTGCTAGAGAGAGAGAGAGAGCACAAGCAGGGGGAGTGTCAAGCAGAGGGAGAAGCAGGCTCTCTGCTGAGCCGGGAGCCTGATGGGGAACTCTATCCCAGAACCATGGGATCATGGGATCATGGGATCATGACCTAAGCTGAAGGCAGATGCTTAACGGACTGAGCCACCCAGGCATCCCTCCAAGAAGCATTTTAAAAATACCTATGCCCAGGCTCCATCTGAGACATTTCTATCAAAATCTCTGGGTGCAGGGTCCACATGATCATTGGAGCAACTAAGGTTGAGAACTATGAGGTGGGAGATTGGGGTCTTAAAATCATGGGTATGAATAGCACAGGAAGACAGCTCACTATTCCATGAGAAAAAAATGATGAGAAGGAGAACAGCAAGAATAAAAGATAATTATATGCAGTAATAAGGCAATGAGAGACTCCCAATTATGAGGTGGCTAAAAGGCCTCCAAATAAAAAGAGTATTTAATGTGTGAATTTACACTGTTCTAATTTATGGAATTAATTTTTGTGACTTTTTCCTAATTATTGAAAAAAAAATTCAGTAAATTCAGTACTTTGTCGAAGAGTTTTATTTTTTGAGTGAATTTTGACTTTGGATCATAATAACAACCATGTATGCAAAAAGAGAAGGACCAGGACCCTGGAAAAAAATGATATGAGCCAATATCCTTTAGAATTCAAGGGGAGAGAGACCTCAGATCATAATTATATTCCATGTGCTTCCAGATGAGCAAGATATGATACAAACTTTGGGTTTTTTTCATGGACTATTTTTAAAATGTATTGTATAGAAATAAATTTGAATTTAGCAAGCACAACTTGTGACTTTCTCTCAAAAAGATATGTCAGAAAAGGACAAATATCATATGCTTTCACTCGTTGAATTTAAGAAACAAAGGGGAAAAAAGACAACCAAAAACAGGCTTTTACAGAGAACAAACTCCTGATGCCAAAAGTGTGGAAGGGAAATGGGGGAATGTACACCTGAAACTAATGTAACACTCTATGTTAATTATACTTGAATTTAAAAATACAATAAAATAAAAAGTTTTAAAATATTTTAGTTAACTTTCCATTGTAGCTCTTGGAGTTAATAGTTCATAGAATTAATTAGAATATTAAGCTATTATCAGATATATTATTTTACTAAATGTCAGAACTTTCTAATAATCTAAAAATTATTTTATGCTATATTATGTGTTAATACTGTTTCCTATTTCTTTCTTTTGAAATTTTTATTTAAATTCTAGTTACTTAACATATAGTGCAATACTGGTTTCAGGAGTAGAATTCAGTGATTCATCACTTACATACAACACCTAGTGCTCATCATAATGAATGCCCTCTTATGAGGCTGCATGAGTGGCTCAGTCAGTTAAGTGTCCCACTCTTTATTTCAGCTCAGGCCATGATCACAGGGTCCTGGGATCAAGTCCTGCCTCAGGCTTTCTTTTCTCCCTCTGCCTTGCTCCCTCCACACTACCCCTACTCACATGCATAGTCTCTCTCTGTCTCTCTCTCTATGAAATAAATAACTCTTAAAAAGAAAAATAAAAAACCAGTGCCCTCCTACTACCCACCACCCATCTAGCCAATCTCCACCCAGTTCCATTCATCAATCCCCAGTTTGTTCTCTATCTTTAAGAGTCTCTTATGGTTTGTTTCCTTCTTTTTTTTTCTCCCCCCCTCCATATGTTCATCTGTTTTGCTTCTTTAAATTCCACATATGAGTGAAATCATATAAACTTGTCTTGTACTTTTCTTATTTCACTTAGCATAATACACTATACCTCCACTCATGTCATTGCAAATGGCAAGATTTCATTCTTTTTGATGGATGAATAATATTCCACATTATATATCTACCACATCTTTTTTATCCATTCATCATTCGATGGACATTTGGGCTCCTTCCATAGTTTGGCTATTGTTGATAATGCTGCTATGTTAGGGAGCATGTATCCCTTTAAATTCATATTTTTATGTTCTTTGGGTAAATACACAGTACTGTGATTATGAGATCATAAGTTAGGTCTATTTTTAACTTCTTAAGAAAACTCCATATTGTTCTCCAGAGTGGCTGCATCAGTTTGCATTTCCACCAAAAGTGCACAAGTGTTCCTTTTCCTCCACATCCTCTCCAACACTTGTTTCTTTTTTTTTTTTTTAATTTATTTATTTAACAGACAGAGATCACAAGTAGGCAGAGAGGCAGGCAGAGAGAGAGGAGGAAGCAGGCTCCCCGCTAAACAGAGAGCCCGATGTGGGGCTCGATCCCGGGACCCTGGGATCATGACCTGAGCTGAAGGCAGAGGCTTCAACCCACTGAGCCACCCAGGCACCCCTCCAACACTTGTTTCTTGAATTTTTTTATTTTAGCCATTCTGACAGGTGTGAGGTTGTATCTCATTGTAGTTTTGATTTGCATTTCCCTGATGATCTCTGATGTTAAGCATCTTCTTATGTGTCTGTTGCCCATCTGGATGTCTTCTTTGGAGAAATTTCTATTTATGCCTTCTGCCCATTTTTAACTGGATTATTGGTTTTTAGGTGTTGAGTTGTATAAATACTTTATATATTTTGGGTACTAATCTTTTAACAAATATGTCATTTGCAAATACCTTCTCCCATTCTATAGCTGACTTTTAGTTTAGTTGGTTTCCTTCACTGTGCAGAAGCTTTTAATTTTGATGTAGTCCCAACAGTTTACTTTTGCTTTTGTTTCTCATGTCTCAGGAGACATACCTAGAAAGAAGTTGCTATGGCCAATGTCAGAGAAATTATTGCCTGTGCTCCCCTATAGGATTTTTATGGTTTCCTGTCTCACATTTAGGCCATTAATCCATTTTGAGTTTATTCTGTGCATGGTGTAAGAAAGTGGTCTAGTTTCATTCTTTTGCATATAGCTGTCCAATTTTCCCAAGACCGTTTGTTGAAGAGACTTTTTCCCATTGGGTATTCTTTCTTCCTTTGTTGGAAGATCACCATATAATTGTGGGTTTACTTCTGGGCTTCTATACTGTTCCATTGATCTAAGTGTCTATTTTTGTGCCAGTATCATGTTGTCTTGATCACTACAGCTTTATAATAAAACTTGCAGTCTCGAATTATACCTCCAGTTTTATTTTTCCTTTTCAAGATTGTTTTGGTTATTCAGGGTCTTTTGTGGTTCCATACAAATTTTAGGACTGTTTTTTTCTAGTTCTGTTAAAAAAAAAAAAAAGTGCTGTTTTGATAGGGACTGCATTAAATCTGTAGATTGCTTAGGATAGTATAGACATTTTAACAGTATTTGTTCTTCCAATCCATGAACATGGAATGTCTTTCCATTTCTTTGTGTCATCTTCAATTTCTTTCATCAGTGTTTTATAGTTTTCAGAATACAAGTTTTCACCTCTTTGGTTAAGTTTATTCCTAGCTACTTTATTATTTCTGGTGCTACTATAAATGGGATTGTTTTAATTTCTTTTCTACTGCTTGATCATTAGTGTTTAGAAATGCAACAGGCTTCTATACATTGATTTTGTATACTGTGACCACACTGAATTCATTTATCAGTCCTAGTAATTTTTTGGTGGAGTCTTCAGGGCTTTCTTTTTTTTTTTTTTTTTTATTTCTTTTCAGCGTAACAGTATTCATTGTTTTTGCACCACACCCAGTGCTCCATACAATAAGTGCCCTCCTTAATACCCACCACCTGGCTCCCCCAACCTCCCACCCCCCGCCCCTTCAAAACCCTCAGGTTGTTTTTCAGAGCCCATAGTCTCTCATGGTTCACCTCCCCTTCCAATTTCCTTCAACTCCCTTCTCCTCTCCATCTCCCCATGTCCTCCATGTTATTTGTTATGCTCCACAAATAAGTGAAACCATATGATAATTGACTCTCTCTGCTTGACTTATTTCATTCAGCATAATCTCTTCCAGTATATAGAACATGTCATCTGCAAATAGTGAAAGTTTTACTTCTTCCCTATCAATTTGGATGCCTGTTATTCCTTTCTCTTGTCTGATTGCTATGGCTAGGACTTCCAGTACTATGTCGAATAAAAGTGAGAAAAGACATTCTTGTCTTCTTCCTGACCATAAAGGAAAAGCTCTGTTTTTCCCCATTGAGAATTATATTAAATTAGCTGTGCGTTTTTCAGATGTGGCCATTATTATGTTGAGTCATGTTCCCTCTAAACCCACTTTGTGAAGGGTTTTTATCATGAATGGATGTTGTACTTCATCAAATCCTTTTTCTGCATCTATTGAAATGATCGTACGGGTTTTATATTTTATTTTATTAATGTTATATATCATGTTGATTGATTTGCCAATGTTGAAAAACCCTCACAACCCAAGAATAAATCCCACGTGATCATGGTGAATGCATTGTTTAATTTGGTTTGCTAACATTTTGTTGAGAATCTTTGTTGAGTTGTTCATCAGGAATATTGGCCATAGTTCTTTTGTAGGTCTTTATCTGATTTTGGAATCAGGGTATTGCCAAGCTCATAGTATAAATTTGGAAGTTTTCCTTCCATTTCTATTTTTTGTAAAATTTTGAAAAGTATAGGTATTAAACTTTCTTTTTTTTAAGATTTTTATTTATTTATTTGACAGACAAGTAGGCAGAGAGGCAGGCAGAGACAGAGAGAGGAGGAAGCAGTCTCCCCGTCGAGCAGAGAGCCCGATGCAGGGCTCGATCCCAGGACCCAGAGATCATGACCAGAGCCGAAGGCAGAGGCTTTAACCCACTGAGCCACCCAGGTGCCCCTAGTTATTAAACTTTCTTTAAATGTTTGGTAGAATTCACCTGTAACACCATCTGGTCTTAGGCTTTTGGTTTTGGGGATTTTTTTGACTACTGATTCAATTTCATTGCTGGCAATCAGGTTGTTCAAATTTGCTATTTCTGGTGTCTATTTTTGTGCCAGTACCATGGCAGTGGGCTTTCTGGTTCAACTTTGGTAGTTTATATGTTTCTAGGAATTCATCTTTTTCTTCTAGGTTGTCCAGTTTGTTGACATATAATTTTTCATAATATTCTTTTATAGTCCCTTGTATTTCTATAGTGTCAGAAAGTCAAGCACACACAAAAAAGAAATAATTTAGGACCAAAAAATTATAATGTAGAATTTATAGGAAATATTTAAAAATGGCACAATAATCAAATAACAATTCATTATGATTTTGAGTTGAGCCAAGATAACATAGACCTATTTCTTTAAGTGAAATAAGTCAAGCAGAGAAAGACAATTATCATATGGTTTCACTCATATATGGATAGCACATAGGACCATAGAGAAAAGGAGGAAAAACTGAGGGGGAAGAAATCAGTGAGGGAGACAAATCTTGAGAGACTCTGGACCCTGAGAAAAAAACTGAGGATTTCAGATAGGTGGGAGTGGGGAGATGGGATAGTGAGGTGATGGGTATTAAGGAGGGCACATGTTGTGATGAGCACTGGACATTATATGCAACTAATAAATCGAATACTACATCAAAAAGTAATGATATACTACTATATGTTGGCTAACTGAACATAATAATAAAATAAAAATATAAAAACTTACACTAAAAAAAGAATGAATGTTAGGCAAACTATGGTGTATTCGTGTAATGGAATATTTCAACACTAAATATAAACCATTGATACATGTGGCTTTCTAGATAGATCCCAAGGATGTTATGCTGGCTGAAAAAAAACTAATCTCTGGAGATTTTTAGATAATTCTACTAATATAACATTCTCCAAGTGACAGAATTATAGAGATAGAGAACTGATTAGAACAGAGCACTAGGTATACAAGGGAAAGGTATGACTACAAAACGAATCCATGACAGAATTCCATTTTGGTGGATGGAACAGTTTTGTATTTTGACTGTGATGGTGGTTCCATGGTTATACATGTTATATAATTGCACAGAACTACACACAGACAACACACACACACATACACATTCTAATCTAAATAAGGTTTCTACCAAACTCAATTTCCTGTTTTTTATATTTTACAGGTTAAAGATATTAAGACAATCTGGATGTAGGATAGACAGGACCTCTCTAACATATTTTACTTTCCATTAAAGTATAGTTACTTCAAAATTAAAAAGTTTAATTAAAAAAGAGACCACCAATAACTGTGACTAATTCTGTGTAATAGTTTTCCTTCTTTATATTTTTCTCCATTTCAAAAATTATTCAAAGATATAGTATCTTTATAATTTATATTTCTATTAATTTCATAATATTAAGACAGTGAAAAAATGCTATAAACACAAAAAATACTGGAAATACATGTTCTGAAATATAAAGAGAATTTATCTCTAGGTGATAATACTATGAATGATTTTTTTCCTTTTCTATATTTTCCAGTCATTTTTGATGTGTGTGTATTATTTCAAAATGAAAAATTGTATTAATTTTAAAAATCAAATAAAATTCAGCCAGAAAATATAAAATAAGGAAGCACTTTAGAACTGATGTAAATTAATAACCACAAAATGTGTTAAGAAAAAAAAAAGTGCAAAAGCATTTATAGTATGTAATACTACTTTTTGTTTAACAAAGGAGGTATAAGAAATGTACATATCTGCTCCATTGTGCAACAAATAAAAGGTAAGATAGCTAAAACTAAAAAACTACAATAATAGAAACTAGTAATGAAAACTAATTGTTTCTCTACTGGGAGTAGGGGAGAGAAATGAGAATGGATAGAAGGTTTACAGGGTTTACAGGGATGGGAATGGATAATTCTCTGAGTATAACCATATATAGTTTTGAATCTTTTTAAAAATTTTTTTAAAGATTTTATTTATTTGGGAGAAAGAGGGCACATGTGAATAGTAGTGGGGGGGGGGTAGGAACAGAGGGAAACACACAAGCAGACTCATACTGAGCACAGACCCAGTCTCAAGGCTCAATCTCACAACCCTGAGATTACAACTTCAGCTAAAATCAAGGGTTGGGCACTTAACTGACAGAGTCACCCAGTTGCCCTTATAGTTTTAAATATTAAAAATCATTTTATATTTCACGTATCAGAAACTAAGCTAAAATAAAATGAACAGGACAGGGAGAAATCCAAAAAACTTACCGTTTTTCAAATGAACAATCTAACCACATTAAGAAGAAAAATGAATAAACCCCAAATAATTCTTGAATAAAATATTTTTACATACACTTCAGGCTATGGGCAAGAAGAATTTCACAGTGGAATGAGCTAGCAATTCTGAGATAGTTTAATGTGTATTCCAAAGACATCCAAGGATGGAATTTATATAGATAACTGTCAAAGAAAGTGTCAAAGTATATCACTATCATAGAAAACAGTCAAAAATATGAAAAGATACGAGGCTAGAATGAAACCTATATTGTGGATTCAATTTGAAAGTGTAATTTTGACCTCATGCTTTGTAATGTAGATATGCATGTATAGAAATATATATATAAGATATGAGTGTGAGTATATATACATGTATACATATATACATATATTCATGTATATGTATCTATATGTTTTCATATGCTTGAATCCTATGTAGATATAGATATACATTTCCTAGCTCTGTCTATTGATGGGGCCAAAAGTGACACTCCCAATAGCAGAAAGGAAAATTAATACCTAGATCTTGGTTTCTAAATACTATTTCCCATTTCGATGAACCAGGGTTCCTTGGAGAATGGCTGATTTTAGGAACTGGGGCAGGAAACATTCAGTATCAATGTAGAACATCTTGTGATTCTAGAAAGTAAGGAAGCACTCAAAAAGAAAAAAGGAAAAAAAAAATCTCACAGTGTTAAAAGTTTGCCAAAGAGACACCAGTTGACTGGCCAAAGCTAGAAAAACTTGAATAACGAAATCAATAAAGTAGTACTGGATTATAACCCAGACCATAATAACATAAATATCCAAGAGTCTACAATGTTACAAATAAATGACTGAATAAATAAATGGAGAACAGACAAACCTTTGGTGCAAAGGAATTAAAAATAATTTATGTAACTACTGAGCCCCCAAGAAAGTGAAATATAACTTCCTACTTCTTAAGTATGGGTTATGCAAAGTAACTTCTTTCAGGGAAGTACAATATGGAAAGGGAAGTAAAGAGTAACTTAACAGTGAGAAATTTGACAAATATTACCTCAGGCAGGTGATCAAGGTTAACATCAACACTTGATAATGATATGATGAAAGATACTTTACCTCTGAGGTCTTCCTCCCAAAAATACATAAACCCAGTCTAATCATAAGAGAAACGGCAGACAAATCTTAATATGAGGGACATACTACAAAATACCTGACCAGTTCTCGAAACCATCAAGGCCATCAAAAACAAAGAAATTAGGAGAAACTGTCACTGTCAAGAGAAGTCTATGAATACATATTTGATAAATGTAATATGGTATTTTGGGTGGAATCCTGGAAAAGACATTAGGTAAAAGAAATCTGAATGAAGTGTGGAATTTATTTAATATAATATATAAACATTGCTAGTTCATTAACTATAACAAATGTACCATATTACTATTAGATGTTAATAACTGGGAAAATTGGATATGTTGCTTATGGGCAAGAGTTATAGTATGTTCTAAAACTGGATGTAGTGATACATTAATCAAAAACAATGAATTGTATATATCATGAATGACTATTATAGTAAACAATATTTCAACAAAGCTGTTTAACAATGAATTGTTTGGTGTATTGTAAAAATAATTGTTAAAACACTTGAAATTTTGTAGTTCTAATTACCATCTCAGGACCACACACAGTGCCATCTTGTACAAATGTATCATCTCTATCTTCAGGATTTTCATATGTCGTCCATGAATTTTTAGGTAACTTTTCATTGGGTCGAAATGTAGATACACATATTTCGTCTTGGACATGTGTATAAATCACAGATAAATTTGCACGTGATATTAATGTTTTGTGTGGCCAGGCACAAACTAATTTTCCACATAGAAGATTACTAGAATCATAGGGCAGAGAAAAAAATTCTCTTATTATTTACTGAAATAACATAGACTCCTGATATACCTAAGTTTTAAAAAAAAAGTTTTACAAATTTAACTCCAGGTGTCAACAATATTCTCTCAGAAAACTTTCTGAGCACACTAATTTATGTATGATGTGGCCATTTTTGTTCTGTGAGTCTATGTGCTAAGGGAAAAATTAATGATACCTGCAACCTGACAGCCCTGGCCTGTCTTATATTAGCTTCTTAAATTTGAGCAAATCACCAGTCTTCAATTCTTTCATTAGTAAAATAAAATAAATAATTCTCACTACAAATATCATTGTAACATTATAGGCACTGAATACATATCATTTGTAGGGGGTGGGTAATACTGTTCAGTTCAGATCATAAAACAGAAACCTGTGATAAACTGCCATATATTCTAGGATCTTAGCAATATATAACCTATATCCCAAACAAAATTATAAATTTCTAAATACATACGGATAACTGCAAAAATCTCGGCCACAGTTTCCATATCTATCTCCTCTTGTATTTACTTCATCATAACAAGCAAATGGACCACCTCTAGAAGCTAAAAGAAAAAAAAAACTTTTATAAATTACAGTACATAATTCCAATAATCATTGTAGAAATAAACTCACTTTGGAAATTAATAATGTGACAGCTAAGGAGATTTATAATTACCTAGCATTAAAAGGTTGCTCAGGTAGCTTTGGGGGAGGCAAGATGACAGAAGAGTAGGGACCCCATTTCAATCAGTCCCCTGAATTTAGCTGGATATCTACCAAACCATTCTGAACATCCACAAAATCAGCCTGAGATATAAGAATATATATCTAGATCTCTACAAGCAGAAAAGCGCTGCCTGTTGCAAGGTAGGAAGAGCAGAGTTATGAAGCTTCAGGGAGATATTGGAAGATAAACAGAAGGGTGAGGGAGCCTCCATAAACTGGCTCCTAGAGAGTGATATAACACCAGAGCACAAAAGTGTCCTATGCCAGGGTTTGGACAGCAGTAATGGCTGGGAAAGGGCTTTAGTGCAGTGCTCAGGCAGGATCCAGGAGCTGCAGGTGCATGCATGAGCCTGGGGCCCTGGGCAGTTTTAGAAACACAAAGGGCATGGACACTCCCAGGCCCCTGGGATGACCTCAGAGAATCACTGTGGGCGTGAATTGTGAGAGGCTGCAGCTTTCTGCAGTACATAGAGAAACAAAAAAGGTTTGTCCTGGAGGGTACAGTGAAGACAACCAACTTTAATTTCTCTGCTCTGGGCCAGAGGTTTGGGTGTGACCATTTTTGCTCTGACCCTCAAGGAGGCATGGAAAGCAGAGAGAACAAAATCTCAAAACACCAGTCTCCACTGATCTCATCCTCCCAACAGGAGGCAGGACAACTCTACCCAAGCAGGTTGCCTGAGAAACAACAGCAGTCCCAGCCCCCAGAAGACCTACTGGAAGAACAAGAGGATGACAATTATAGTGTCCCTATAAAACTGTAAAATCCCAACACCGGCGATAATAGTATATTGAGCTCCAGTCGTTGCCTCATGGCTTGTTTATTTTTCAGATACAAGTTTCTTTTTCTTTTTATTCTTAGCAATATATAACCTACATCCCACCTTTTTCTTGTTTTTTTTTTTTTACCTTTTTCTCATTTCAACTGCATGTTCAATATATCAACTTATATTTCATAGTAGCTTTATTTAACTTGTACTTTTCCACATCTATATTTTTTTATAGATATATGTTTCAGGGTAGTCCTTTTCTCCCTATTCAATATTACCTTTGTATATATACAAGTTTTACTTTCCCTATAATTTTGGGAAGTAGTGTACTCTAACAAACAGAACAAAATACTCCCAGGAACAACTTAAACACCCTACTTTGTCCATACTGAGAGATTGCCCCCTTTATTCTTTTTTTTTCTTAATTTTTACTTTTTTTTAATTTTAAAATTTTACAAATTTTATTCTTGTGTTTTATTTTGGCTTTGTTTTTTCAGTGGTGACTTCTGACCACTCCAGATTTTCCTAAGATGCCTCTTGCTTGGGTTGTGGTTGATATTTTGAACTCTGCACATTCTCTTAACCATCCCTCAACACAATGACTAGGAGGAGGCTCTCCCAACAAAGAAAAAAACCAGAGATAATGCCCCTGACACAGATCTAATGGATATGGATATAACCAAAATGTCAGAGATAGATTTCAGGGTAGCAATTATGAAGTCAATAGTTAGGCTTGAGAAAAGCATTAGTAACAATATAGAATCTCTAAGGGCAGAAATGAAATCTAATCAGGCCAAACTAGAAAATGCTATGAATTAGATGCAGTCTAAACTGGATACTCTAACATCCAAGGTAAATGAGGCATAAGAACAAATTAGTGATCTAGCAGATAAGCTGATAGAAAAGAAGAAAGCTGAGGAAGAGAGGGACAGGCGGCTAGAAGCCTGTGAGAACAGACTTAGAAAGATCAATGATACCATGAAATGTTCCAATGTCAGAGTTATTGGGATCCCTGAGGGGGGAGAGAAAGAGAGATGATTAGAAGGTATGATTGAGGAACCAGAAAACACCTCGAATAGCCAAAGGAATATTGAAAAAGAAAGCCAAAGTTGGTGGCACCACAATTCCAGACCTCAAGCTCTATTACAAAGCTGTCATCATCAAGACAGTATGGTACTGGCACAAAAACAGACACATAGATCAATGGAACAGAATAGAGAGCCCAGAAATAGACCCTCAACTCTATGGTCAACTAATCTTTGACAAAGCAGGAAAGAATGTCCAATGGAAAAAAGACAGCCTCTTCAACAAATGGTGTTGGGAAAATTGGACAGCCACATGCAGAAAAATGAAATTGGACTATTTCCTTATACCACACACGAAAATAGACTCAAAATGGATGAAGGACCTCAATGTGAGAAAGGAATCCATCAAAATCCTTGAGGAGAACACAGGCAGCAACCTCTTTGACCTCAACCGCAGCAGCATCTTCCTAGGAACATCGCCAAAGGCAACGGAAGCAAGGGCAAAAATGAACTATTGGGATTTCATCAAGATCAAAAGCTTTTGCACAGCAAAGGAAACAGTTAACAAAACCAAAAGACAACTGACAGAATGGGAGAAGATATTTGCAAACGACGTATCAGATAAAGGGCTAGTATCCAAAATCTATAAAGAGCTTAGCAAACTCAACACCCAAAGAACAAATAATCCTATCAAGAAATGGGCAGAAGACATGAACAGACATTTCTGCAACGAAGACATCTAGATGGCCAACAGACACATGAAAAAATGCTCCACATCACTCGGCATCAGGGAAATACAAATCAAAACCACAATGAGATACCACCTCACACCAGTCAGAATGGCTAAAATTAACAAGTCAAGAAATGACAGATGCTGGCGAGGATGTGGAGAGAGGGGAACCCTACTACACTGTTGGTGGGAATGCAAGCTGGTGCAACCACTCTGGAAAACAGTGTGGAGGTTCCTCAAAACACTGAAAATAGAGCTACCCTATGACCCAGTGATTGCACTACTGGGTATATATCCTAAAGATACAAATGTGGTGCTCCAAAGGGGCGTGTGCACCCAAATGTTTATAGCAGCAATGTCCACAATAGCCAAACTATGGAAAGAACCTAGATGTCCATCAACAGATGAGTGAATAAAGAAGATGTGGTATATATATACAATGGAATACTATGCAGCCATCAAAAGAAATGAAATCTTGCCATTGTGATGACGTGAATGGAACTAGAGGGTATTATGCTTAGCGAAATAAGTCAATTGGAAAAAGACAACTATCATATGATCTCTGTGATATGAGGAGATGCAATGTGGGGGGGTTGGGGAGTAGGAAAAAAAATGAAAGGAGATGGGATCGGGAGGGAGAGAAACCATAAAAGACTCAATCTCAAAACACAGATTGAGGGTTGCTGGGGGAAGGGGGGACAGGAGAGAGTGGTGGGGATATGGACATTGGGGAGGGTATGTGCTATGATGAGTGCTGTGAAATGTGTAAACCTGGCAATTCACAGACCTGTACCCCTGGGGACAAAAATACATTATATGTTTATTTAAAAAAAAAAAAAAGAAGAAGAAGAAGGTATGGTTGAGCAAATCATAGCTGAGAACTTCCCTAATCTGTGGAAGGAAACAAGGATTCATGTCCAAGAGGCAGAGAGGACCTCTCCCAAGATCAACAAAAATAGACCAACACCCCAGCATATAATAGTAAAACTTGCAAACCTTAGAGCCAAGTAAGCTATCCTGAGAGCAGCTAGCAGGAAGATATTTCTTACCTATGGACGTAGGAACACCAGAATAATGTCAGACCTGTCCACAGAGAGCTGGCAAGCCAGAAAGGGCTGGCAAGACATATTCAGGGCACTAAATGAAAAGAACATGCAGCCAAGAATACTTTATCCAGCAAGGTTTTCATTCAGAATTGATGAAGAGCTTTCAGGATAGGCAGAAACTGAAAGAATATCCAACCACCAAGCCAGCCCTGCAAGAAGTACTAAGGGGGATTCTGTAAATGAAGAGCCTCCAAGAGTCACACAGACCAGAAAGAAACAGAAAATCTATAGAAACAGGCAATACACTGGCACTAAATTCATATCTTTCAATAGTCACTCTAAATGTAAATGGGCTAAAGGTTCCCAATAAACAGCACAGTGTTGCAGACTGGATAAAAAAGCAGGACCCAACCATATGCTTTCTATAAGTGACTCATTTTGAACCTAAACACCTCCAGATTGAAAGCGGGGGAGGGATGGAGAACCATATACCATGCTAATGGACCTCAAAAAAAACTGGGGTAGCAATCCTCTATCAGACATAGTCAACTGTAGTAAGAGATGTAGAGGGACACTATATTATATTTAAAGGGTCTATCCAACAAGAAACTCTTAACACTTGTAAATATCTATACCCCAATATGAGAGCAGCCAACTACCAAAAAACAACTATTAACCAAAATAAAGAATCATATTGATAATAATATGTTAATAGTAGGAGACCTCAACACTCCACACTCAGGAATGGGCAGATCATATAAGCAGAAGATCAACAAAGAAATATAGACTTCATAGATATATACAGAACATTCCATCCTAAAACAAAAGAATACTCATTCTTCTTGAGTACACATGGAACTTTCTCTAGAAGACTACATACTGGGTTACTATCAGGTCTCAACTGATACCAAAAGATTATTCCAGGCATGTTATCAGACCGCAATGCTTTGAAACTGGAACTCAATCACAAGAAAAAATTTGGAAGGTATTCAAACACTTGGAAGTTAAAGAGCATCCTGCTAAAGAACGATTGGGTCAACCAGGAAATTAAAGAAGAACTTAAACAATTCATGGAAACTAATGAGAATGAAAACACATCAGTCTAAAACCTATGGGATACTGCAAAGACAGTCCTAAGGGGGAGACACCTAGCCATCCAATCCTCCCTCAAAAAAGTAGAAAAAACCCAATTGCACAAGTTAACCTTACACCTAAAGGAGCTGAAGAAAGAACAGCAAATAAAGCCTAAACCAAGCAGGAGAATAG